GCAGGAAATGAGTTTGTTTCCCAAGGTTTTGTTGCCTCTTAGCTGATAGACCCTGATTCAGAAGAAGCCCTAATAGTTCTTTGTATGCTAACTATCGTTTGATCCTTACTGCCTGACAATGATTGATGAGCTGTACCTTTATTCCTGCACAAATTAAACCCAATAAAAGACTGCCTAGGCAAGGGTCGGCTCGCTCTCCCCTTGAGAGAGTGGCCAGGCTGTTCTGAGGCACCTCCCCCTTAAGGGAGTAGCCATGCCATCCCTTTTCCTCCACAGGACTCAGTAGTCCATGTGAATTTGTCTCATATCTCATCCATGATGCTGCAGGCACTGAGGGCTGGTACACGTGTTACTCCTACCCAAAGGCACTGACTTTTGCATTTGCTGGGGTTTAAATCAACTTTAAGCAACATTCAAGGGTCATGTTTGAATTAGCACATTCTGATGTGACATTTTCCTCATGTGGTTATTGGAAGATAAGGCTTATGGGAGAAAGCAGCCCAGGTCTGCTCAGGGCCCTGGATTCGAGAAATGGCTAACAATACAAATAACTAAAAAGCATTAAACGAAAAAAAAAAACACCTTAAGTTTTCATTTAAAAGACAAAAATTTTCTTCAAGAATAGTGGCATCAAGGAAGGCTTTCCAGCAGCAGAAGCCTGGGGTCAAGTCTTCGCTAAGGCAAAGAAATGGAGGAGGAAAGACCTCGGGCAAAATCATGCAGGTATGGAGCAACAGGACATGTTTGGGCAAATGTCAGTGGTTCAAGGCACCCCAAGAAGTGGGGTGTGGGAGAGCAGGAGACGGGACTGGAGATAGAGACAGGACTCCAAATCAGATGAGAGCCTTTCCTGGGTGCTAATGTGAGCAATCTGAAATTTATCCTGAATGTTGTGGGAAACCACTGTAAGATTTTGTATATATATTTTCTTCTTACTTAGAGCAGTTTTATGATTCTAAACACCCCTCTAAATTTTTAAAATCTTTAACACAGTGGTTTTGAACCTTAACTTCACATCACACTCACCTAAGGCATTTCTAAAGATGTAGATAAATAAGCTCCATCCCTGCAAAGATTCTGATCCAGTGGCCTGGGGATGGGCCCAGCATCCATGCTCTAGAGAGTGTCAGTTCATCATAAAGGCAACTGGGGTTGAAAATTACAGCTTTCATGGTGAGTCAATTAATCAAATAATTAGATCAACATCTGGCTGAGAAGTGTCTAGAACAACATCTATTTCAACTTTAATGTGCATTTAAATCTCCCGGGGATCTGATTCCACATTAGAAGGTCTGGGGTGAGGCCTGGGATTCTGCACTTTCAACGAATTCCCAGGTGTTGCCTACGGTGCTCATAGAAACAATCTAGAAATGGGAATGAAGGGGAAAGGATTTGAAAAAAGTATGCAGGTGTTGCTTTGGAAGCAAGAACCAGCAAGATATTTTTTACTGAGGCATACTCCCTTTGGAAGACGATAAGACAGCAGAAGGACATTAGGCGCAGAGAGGGCCGGGGAGAGGGGGAGGAAGGTGGGAGACACCAGGGAAGACCGTTCCCTAGGGCTCTGGAGTGAAGCATGGCCACCAGCCTGCCACAGGTCCAAGGTCTTGGGCAAGTTCCTTAACTTCTCTAAGCCTCATTTTTCTGTCATGTCTCAACTAGGGACACTTATTGAACTTTGGAATCCCCAGGCCCCGCTGTAGTCCTAATGAATCAGAATGGAGAAGGAGGGTGGGTGAGAACCTGCGTTGACAGCAAGCACTCCAGCTAATTATTATACACTGTTAAGCTGCAGAACTAGAACTCTGATGGTTACAATAAGATAGCAAGCGCCCAGAACAGAGTAAGTGCTCCATAAGTGGTAACCATGGAGATGAAAATAGTGTAATGGTGATAGGGTAAACATTTCAGGTCCAGTCTAGTTTCCACAACACGTGAATTCTATTTCAACCTCCACCCTCAAGTTGGTGCCTACCAGAGATGTCTGCCAGCTTCCCGGTACAGGAAAATGCTGTTTTCCCCCTTCACTTCTCCAGCTTTCTCAGAGTTTCTTTTCAAGAGATGAAATGCTATGCAGTCATTAAAAGCATGTTTTCCTAGAGCATTTACTATGATGGAAAGTGTCTACAGTATAATATTAGCCTCAAACAATGGGACATTTGATACTGTCCCATTTTGGCTGGACAGAAAAAGTGCTGTAGCATGAGTTTTTAAGATATGACTTTGTTTCTACTTGCAATTTTTTGTTTTCCGTATCTCAGTCAGTCAAGAAGAGAAAGGTGTCCTTACGAAGGGAAGGCTGTGGTGGGGTGGAAAGCAAAAGGTGCTTGGAAACCACTTCTCTTTCTAGCTTTTGTTTTCCAGAGTGAGCCATTGAGGCAATTATAAGAGATGTCTCCAGGGAAAATGTCAAATGAAAGGGAATTACCCAGGGTTTCCTCTGAGACTAAAGAGTCATTTCCCTGAGCTCTGAAGGAAAGATCTAAGTTTGTGGTCTCCAGAGGAGTGTGACCTCCCAGTAGAATCCTCTTCTAATACCAAACTCTTCCTCAGCCTCCCCGCCCTCTTTGATGTCTATCAGCCATGGCAGGGGAGTGGCCAGCTAAGGGTGCATTCTCAGTTTCCACCATTTCCCTTTACAAATCTTGCATTCTGTTCTCCAACTTGCCTCTGAATGTGAGGCCTAGACCAAAATTCTAACATCTGGGTACATGCATCTTCAAAAAAGACTGGAATGAAGCTGTTAATCATGGATGGTGACATTATAGGCAATTTTCACATTTTTATTATACTTTTATCTAATTTATGATGTTTTGACAGTAATAAAAATAAGCTGATATTAATTTTTATTAGAGAATTTCCACTACTCTAGCCTTACATGTCTATTCCTTACTCCACTCCTACCAACTAAAATGTTTTTCCTCTGAAACACTTCCCTAGCCATGCTTTGCTCCTACACACGTCCCCCTCTGCACTGTTTTACTTTTCCCTCTAACCCAAGGACCTAGCACAGCACCAGCAAATCAGAGAAGTTAAGCACATTTTTGAAATGAACCTATCTTGAGAATGCCAAGGATTTTCTTTGTTCACATTATCGCCACTACTAAGCTTTTCCACTGGGCAGTTATAGTGCCAACCAAATAACAGAGCCATCTGCCCTCCCATTGAGCGAGAGCAAATTATCATGTGCTGCTCCCTGGAGTTCTGCAGGGATAAACAAGAAAGGGAAAAATTTTTAAAGGGGTTTTTGGCAAACATCCCTGTATACAATTTCCAAATGACACAAATACGGTCACCAAATATTATCTAGTTCCATCAAAGAACAATTGAAAGTTAAGGCCCAAGAATATTTCAAAACTCCTGATCCACCTACACACTCTCAATTTGAGAGGCTCTTTTCCACACGACGTTAACATACACTTACTATGTTGGGATATAAGTGCATTGTACAAATCACGTGAGTGCATGACATTGGCCACAAATGCGTCTGACATTCTGTTTGTTAAGTCGTACTGAAGACGTGTTTTTGTTTTTTTTAGGAAGGTAATTTAAGAACAAGCAGAAAATATTCTAGAATTTTTCTTAAAACAAAAAAAGGTTTCTCTCCCCCACTGCATAATCCCTCCCTGCCCCTGGCCGAGAAGTCCCAGGCTGTCCTGATCTCTTCCCAAAGGACTCTTCCCCAGTCTTGGTCCTATTTCCTCACTCCAACTCCATCACACTTCTGGTGGCAGAAATGATCTGGTTCACGTGTTTGATGATCCAGGGTCTGCTATGGGCCAAATGTTTGTGTTCCCCCGAATTCATATGTTGAATCCCTAAGGTGACGGTATTTGAAGTGGGGCCTTGGGGAGGCAATTATGTTATGAAGGTGGAGCCCTCGTGGAGGGATTAGTGTCCTTACAAGAGGAGGCAGGAGAAGGTGATCTCTTTCTCCGCCATCTGAGTGTGCAGCCAAAAGGCAGCTGTCTGCAAACCGGAAGGAGGTCCCTCACCAGGGACCATGCTGGGACCCTGATCTTAGCCTTCCAGCTTCTAGAACTGTGAGTAACAAATGTCTGCCCTTTAACCCACCCAGTCTGTGGTAAGAGGGTCTGATCCCTACCAGATTATGAGCTCCAGGACAGCAGGCCTGTGGCAACCTTGTTTACTGCTGTTTTCTGAGCATCTGCAGCAATGCTCTGAACATAGTAAGTGCTCAGAAATGATGAGATGCATTGTGAATGGTGAGACGTTCCAGTCTCAGAGGGTCAGGTGTCCCATCATTCCCTTTCCACTTAAATTCCTTCTTGGTAACAAGTTAGGCTTCCATGCCCACTCACACACGACCAGTCTGCATTGCAGAGGTATTCACCTCAAAGGCTTGGGGAAGTTAATGATCCTCCCCGTGGTAGCCTAGGCTCTTGAAGAAAAGTGTTGGGAAATTATAAAAGAAAATGCAAAGATTGTTTTAGAGGAGAAATAAATGAGACAAGGATTTGAATTACAACATATGAAATGACAGATGTAGAAAAAGGGGGATTAGGGGATTAAAGACTGACATTTATTAAGGTTAGACCATATCCCCGTGTTTTACCCATATTACAACACTGAGTCTTTTCCATAAGCCTATGAAGTAAGTATTAACAACCCAATTTCACAGACAAGGAAACTAAATTTCAAAATGGTAAAGCAAATTTCTTAGGAATTTTAATAGGTGGCGAAGCCGGGGCTCAAACCAGGGTCTGGCTGACTTCAAGCCTGTGTGTGTGTGTGTGTGTGTGTGTGTGTGTGTGTGTGTGTGTGTGTGTGTGTTTCCCACCCTACAGCCCTGCCCTCTCCGACAACATGGTGGGAGGGGGTGGTTGGTAAGCAGAGGGGGTGTGGACATCAGACACATATTAAAAGACCATTGGTAACTGGATTGAAGAACACCTCCCACGCTTTCACCCTCTGCGTTGGTTTCAAATATCCTCTAGATGTGCCAGAGTCACAACTACTTCCTCTGTTTTGAAACACAGGGTCTAATTCACTGTCATCTTTACCCAGAAGAGACCTCTATAAATTACAGCTGTTCGGGCCTCCACTTGCAAAGGTAACAAGGACGATAAGTGGACCATCAATAATTTCCCCAGTGCAGAGGAGGCGAACGTGCACGCAGCAAAAAGATGCTGAAATTTTAAAATTTGATTGCTTCCCCAGCCATTTTTTACTCGGAAGAATTAAATGTAAGTGGTGTTGTGCTGCTGTTTCAAAGCCCATTTGGAAAATGAGATAATGCATCTCCGGGGTGGGGAAGAGAATCCTGTGTCCCTCCTGACATATTTTACATAATAACAACAGAGGCTTTATAGAAGGTTGAGCCAGGAGGGGGAAGCGACTTAGAGTCGGGGCTTTCTTTACAAATTATGGTGCAGACGATAACAAATTGTCAAAGCCACACATGCTTCCATTTCCTCTTCACAATGATAGAAGATGAGTTGAGGCATGAGCAGCCCTGGTTCAGTTATTTACTAGAGCTCTTTACATATCCAGGTGGGGCTCTATAATCCTGTGCAAACTCCCAGAGTTGCTTACTGGGCTAGAAGTTCCCTATTTGGCTGGCTCTTGTGTTATCTTCACTGTTAGAGTCGGAGCTGCCAGAAGAAGCACTTAACCTTGCTGATGGATGATGCTACAGAGAGCCAATTCCAGGGCTTTGAATGTGGAATGAGAAGCCCTAACTGAACAATGCTCCTCACACACAGAAAACCACACAGGAATGTCTGGGCTTTGAGGTAGATATCCATCCAGATTTCTATGTGGCAGGGAGAACATAGATGCATGTTGTACTTTTTTGCTGAAAAAAGTTCACAAGTGAGGCTTTGACTTGCATGTGTGTCCACTTTACCTGAAAACCCTATTGCTAATTCAGGGGAAGTGGTACTGCTAGGGGACTCAAGACTTGGAAAATTTTAGCTTAAGGAAACATTATAAGTCTAGCAAGTAATGGGTATGTTAAAGCTTTTGTTTCCCATCCTAGCTCCTGGGAAACAGCCAGCCCCCTGGGGCAATGACAGAAGATTCCGCCTGGGGACATCCGGACCTCTGTTCCAGGGAGAGCAGACGACCACCCTCCCCTGGGAGCCGCTAGCTGCCCAGAACAGGAATGCTGCAGCTCCGCTCACCTAATCCTCCCTGAGTCTCAGAGCCCCCACGGCACCTAGTTTATCCACCCAACCTGACCTCATAAAAGGTCTGGCCTGGAAAGAAAAGACAAGATGGTTTGTTAGGGTATGAACCCACCATCTTCTTGGATCGCCAGCCACCTGAATAAAGCAAAGCACCCGTAAAGATCCAATCGCTGTCATTGCTTATTGAATTTGGTAGTAACAGGCAGCCTGAACACTGCTGTTTTTTCCTGTTACAGTACCAACCCTCCCTGGCTGAAGAAAGAAGGCACAATTAACAGGAGCTACCAGAAACAGACGAAAGGAGAGGAGACAGGTGTAGACCTTTATGTGAAGAGGCGAATGGTAATAAAACTACCTTGGGTATCAACATCCTAAGATCCCCTGCTGGCCTGCTCTTCTTAGAACACGGTAAGGCATTTGCAGTAAAGACATCTGTTCTCACCAAGAGTAGTTCTTTATCTTTAAATCAAAGAAATCTGAGAGCTGGAAGAGACCCAGCGAGCTCCAAACCCAGTGTTTCCAGAGTCACCTGTGAGGTCCACCCTGAATACTACCAGTGTCTCTGGACCAAGTGGCTGGAATCTCGCCCCCGAAAAAGTTCCCTGCTTGTTCTCAAACTTGGGCAGGTCTGGGGACGTGACTAGTGCAAGTCCATTTACAAAGGAGGAAACTGAGGTCCGAGGAAGTGACATGCCCAAGGTTTGAGGACCTTGGGGCACATCTGAGCTAGAACTGAACTCAGCTCTGTAGTGCATGAAAACTGAGTCTAACTGAACATCCTTGGTAAGTAGGGGTGAATCTCACAGGGTGGGTGGCAGGGTCCCAGAGTTGAAGCTTTGGTTGGGTAGAGCAGGAGGCAGTGTGGACCCCCACTCCTGTCCAGTCTGCAGCAGGAAGTTCTTTATTGAACTTCCGATGCCCCAGAAAAGATACTATCACCCAGCTTTGAAAGTCCCTGATGAGTATGTCAGCTGGGGCCACTTTCACTTTACTTTAGACCATTGAGTTATTATATACCACAGAGCTCTGTTCTTGTTGATTGCTGCATCTGACTCACCGCTGATGTTTTTGAGCAGGTGTCTGAAGAACACTGCAGGTAACGAGGGATCCAGGCAGAGAAAGATGCTTGTGGCTCTGCAGTTTCCTGGCATACTGCCCATCTGGAAGATGGTTTAGGAGTCCACTGGGGGAGACATTTTAAAAAATGCAGCCTGGCAGACTTTGTGGAAATGGGCACCTAAGTTAATTCCAAAGCAGCCCGGGAAAGATAGAATGGGGCCTGCAAAGTAAAGAGCATGTTTGCCTGAAGTTGTGGAGGTTAGTAGTAGGATGTTGAGGAGGTCTGCACACTTAGAGAAATGACAAAAAACAAATGAGCAAAGAAACAAAGTCTGATAGAGGCTTCAAAGGGCCTTTGGTGACCTCATTGATTATTTGTAATGTGTGATGGAGAAATAGTTGTAGACTCAGTTTTATTAACCTGTTTTCTGCCTAAGGTGTTAGTTAATTAAGGTAGAGACATTCATTCTTTTCTTTTCTTTGTACAAACCCATGGTTTCTGCATTTACCCCGACTCAGAAAAGAATCCTCAAACCAACAAAATTCAGTTAATGTTAACTTGTAAATAAAGACTAAGAAGATAGAGATGAGCAAAGCTGCAGTGTATGCCTTGCAGAGAGTGGCAGTTCAAAAGGAGTGATTTCCAGGGGGCCGCCAAGCCCTTCGGGTGCATACCTGAACCTCAGGCGCAGGGATTCATTCTATTTACAGTTAAGCACTCTCAGCTCTTCCTTGGCAGTTCAATTAACTCCTGAGAGAGAAAACAATCTTTAACCACACTGAGTCTGTTTCTCTAGGAAGACCAAGAGTGGAGGCAGGAACTAGCTTTTGTTGAACTCTACTTTGTACCTACTAGAGATACAAAGTTTCTTGTCATTTTACTTCAGTTAATCCTCTCAACAACTCAGAAATGGAGGTAGAATTATTACTAATTCACAGATTGTCAGGAGCTGGCCAGCAACCATCCCTTGACAAGGTCAAGATGGTTGAGATGCATCTGCAAGGCAGAGGCACCTGTGGCTGGATTTCCCATCTATCTCTCCTTATATGTTTGGGTGATCAAAAGGTGGTGGGATTGTTAGACACCTGTATTTCAGGTTCATTGATTAGTGTAATTCCAATGAAGCTGTACAAAATAATTTCTTGACCAGAGAACAAAGCCTCTGAATGTCTAAAAGTTGTTGGAGTAACAGCCCCTCCTTTACCTTGAACAGGAATATATATCAATTAGAATTTAGTAGGCAAAGAAACAGAAGAAGCTTGTTAGATACTACAAACTAAGCACGTAGATACAGTTACCAAGGAGTCAGAGTCCATAGTACATAAAGAAACATTTTGGACAGAAAGATAGATAGCTAAGTTAGACATCACAAAGGCCTTATAATGAATTTCCTAACCTCTGCTCAGTCTAGCATACCCTTTTGCCCCATGTCAAATTCTAAGACCTTTAATAAACAATAAGACATTCAAACTCTGTACGTAGAACTATTTCAAATTATCTGATTAATGGTTCTCCTGGTCAAAACAACTTTTGTTTAAGAGAACTGAAACTATGGAAATTCTTGTATTTTTCCTGGTTACCTCTGTATTGTTTTTTTTCTGCTTAACTGATCATGCCATGCACCTGCTCCTTTGATGTTATATAACAATCTCTATAAAAAATAAAGCCTAAATCAGGCCCTGGCTGGTGCAGCTCAGTGGATTGAGTGTGGGCCTGAGAACCAGACAATCTCGGTTCGATTCCCAGTCAGGGCACATACCTGGGTTGCAGACCAGTTCCCTGCAGGCCAGTTCCCAGCAGGGGACACACGAAAGGCAACCATACATTGATGTTTCTCTCCCTCTCTCCTTCCCTTCCCCTCTAAAGATAAATAAATAAAATATTTTAAAAATAAATAAATAAAAAATAAAACCTAAATCAAACTCTGAGAGTTCAGTCAGTCCCACAAAGGCTGGCTGTTCTCCAGCATCCAGTCGGGTGTCTGACTCTTCATTCGCCTGCGCCGTCCATCCTTCAGGGACCCTGAACCCTGCTGAGGCTGGACCCCGGCAACAGATTATGCCCAGCCACAGGGAAGTGAATAAATCACCCTGTGTTGCGCAGCTAGAAAATGGGTTGCTATAAACAAATACCATAGCCTGGGTGGGGTGAAGAGCAGACATTTATTTCTTCCAGTCCTAGAGACTGGGAAGTCTAAGACCAAGGTGGCTCCAGGTGCAGGCCAGCTTCCCGGCTCCTGCACAGCAGTCTTTCAACTGCTCTCCCCCGCCAGAGAGGATCACTCCCGCCTCCCTCACTGCTGTTATAAAGACACAAATTTCATCATGGGGGCCACATCTTCAGAAACTTATCTAAATCTGATTACCTCCCGAAGGTCCCACCTCCAAATACCACCACAGTAGGGACTGGGGATTCGACATACGGGTTTTGAGGGGACATGAACATTTAGTTCATAACAAGGTGTCCTCACTCCCAGCCCTGGGGAGGTTTCACTTCAGTAGCATGGAGAAATGCTACAGAAAGGGAACCCGAGAACACTGGTGTTGCCATCAAGAGGCCACTGACTGTGGGAGCCCAGTGACCAGAAACAGGGCACGTCCTGGAGAACAAGAGATCACTCACAGAGGAGAAGCAAAGGTTCTTTTCATTTTACTTTTTGTGCATCTAAGTCCTCATGTAAAATTCAGTGTCAGTATGTACCTACCACACAATCTGTATGAAGAGAGATACAGAAAAATAGAATGGGGTAGACTAACCCTGTAATGACAGTTATCTCTAGCTGGTGAAATTCTGAATTATTTAATCTTTTTTCATTCATCATAATATTTTTTAAATGGTTCGTTTATTATTTATATACGTGGTTTACATTCCAAGTCCTCCCAGTTTATCTTTTCACGAGATGTCAGTTGTTTTTCAAAGGTCACTTGTATTGTGTCTGCATATTTCAAAACAATAGGCTGTAAATTCAAGCATTTAATGTTAACTCTTGCTCTTTTCCTCCCCACCAAATCAATGTCAGATTTGTTGTTGTTGCTCATTTGTTTTTGTTTTTGTTTTGTAGGACTGACCAGTTGTTTCAATATTGTATAGGCACGACCTCAGTAATATAATATGGTTAAGTTGGAAAAGGAATGTTTTTCTGAGCTTTTCCCCCTAGGCTTTCACCATGAGATTTCCATACCCTTACCATGACAAGACAGAAGTGGGGACCATTTACAAAAGTCCAATCAGGAAAACAAAGCCCCACTGAGCCGCCCACCCATCCCATCCCACAGATGAATGACTTCATTATTACCATTTCAAAGGAGAACCATTTATTTATTCACCAACATTTTAAAGATAAATTTCGCTCATGGGGTTTGAGAAGAGTTAAAAAAAATAACAGGAGAAAAAAAACCTTTAATGAGTCTTTTGTAACATTTAAAACTTAGAGCAGCTTAGTACCAGTGGGAGTTAAAACTAATTAGAAATCAAAATTATATTCCCTTCATCAATGTTAAAATAAATCCAAGGGAAAACAAAGAAGTGCTTTTGTAATTTAATTTTGCGTGATAACCTTACTTTTTGTTATTTGCAACTGTGGGAGGTTTCTTTAAAAGAATGTTAAAAGCTGTATTTTGTCAAGAGTCAACAGTTTGCTAAGTTTTGTGTGGAATGGAGACAATTCAAAGGACAGGGGAGAAGAGAGGGTTTAGGGTGGGGCGAGATCGGAGCAGCTGCTCCAGACTGGCTCGGGGTGGGGAGACTCAGAGGCCAGGCAGGAGGGGACTTCCCTCTCCAGTCTCTGTGATGCTGGGTGGAGTTCTCCCCCCCCCAGGGGGCATCATGCAGGGGAGAATGTTGCCCTAGTGGTGGGGCAGGGAGACCCCTGTGAAGGGTGAGACGGCCGCTTCTAGAAGTAGTTGTAGTACTGGAGGGTCACTCCCTGGACGGTTTGAATGCACCTCAGGGACCTGAGAAGCTGCTGGTCTGATCAAGTCTGGGGGAGTGTGGGGGCCTTAGCTTATGACTCACCCTCTCTGCACAGCCTGTGACACATTGCCACCTACAGAGAGGAGCTGTCCCCTGTCACTCAGGAGCTGTTTCCATCTACTGAACCTTGGCTACATGCCAGGCCCTGGATTAAGTAAACTCTGTTCTTATATTAACTCACTCAAAAATTCACAACAACCTTAGGGAGCAGGAATTTTTATCCCCTTTTTGAAACAGTATAACTAATCAATTTATTCTCATTCCTTTATGGCCATTCATTTTTATTGTGGTAAAATACACATATCGTGAAATTTACCATGTTAAACCATTTTTAAGTGTACAGTCCAGTAGCATTACATACATTCACTTTGTTGTGCGACCATCTACCACCACCCATTTCCAGAACTTTTTCATCTTCCCAAACAGGAACAGTTTACCCATTAAACAAAAACGCCCCACCTACTCCCAGCCCCTGGTTAACCTTTATTCTACTTTCTGTCTGTATGACTTGCTTATTCTAGGAAACTTATATTAGTGGAATCATATAATACATATCTTTTGTGTCTGGTTTATTTCATGTAGCATAATGTTTAAGGACTTATCCATGTTGTAGTATCCCCATTTTATTTTTAAATTGTTTATTGTACTATTATTGCTATACAACATTGTGTAAGTCTTTTTATTTTTAAGTATATTTTATTGATTATGCTATTACAGTTGTCCCATTTTTTTCTCCCCTTTATCCCTCTCCGCCCTGTACCCACCCTCCCTCCAACATTCCCTCCCACCCTCAGTTCATGTCCATGGGTCATACATATAAGTTCTTTGGCTTCTATATTTCCTATGCTATTCTTACCCTTCCTCTGTCTATTTTGTACTTACCTGTTATGCTTCTTATTCCTTGTACCAGTTCCCTCCATTCTCCCCCTCCCTGCACCTTCCATGGTGATCTCCCTCTAATAACCTTCCATGTGATCTCCATTTCTGCCATTATGTTTCTGTTCTAGTTGTTTGCTTAGCTTGTTTTTGTTCTTTAGATTCAGTTGATAGTTGTGAATTTGTTGTCATTTTACTGTTCATAGTTTTGATCAGCTTCTTTTTCTTAGATAAGTCCCTTTATCATTTCATATAATAATGGCTTGGTGATGATAAACTTCTTTAACTTGACCTTATCTGGGCAACACTTTATCTGCCCTTTCATTCTAAATGAAAGCTTTGCTGGATAGAGCAATCTTTTTTTTAAAAAATATATTTTGTTGATTATGCCATTACAGTTGTCCTATTCCCCCCTTCATTCCCCTCCACCCTGCACACTCCTCCCCCACCACTTCCCCCCCTTTTGTTTATGTTCATGTGACACAAGTTCTTTAGATTCTATATTTCCCCTACTATTCTTGCCCTCCCCCTATCTATTTTCTACCTACTGTCTATGCTATTTATTTTCTGTACCTTCTCCCCACTTCTCCTCCTCCCACTCCCCTATTGCTAACCCTCCATGTGATCTTCATTTCTATGGTTCTGCTCCTGATCTAGCTGTCCTCTTAGTTTGCTTTTGTTTTAGGTATGGTTCTTAATAACTGTGAGTTTGCTGTTCTTTCACTGTTCATATTTTTTATCTTCTTTTTCTTAGATACGTCCCTTTAACATTTCATATAATAAAGGCTTGGTGATGATGAACTCCTTGAACTTGACCTTATCAGAGAAGCACTTTATCTGTCCTTCTATTCTAAATGAAAGCTTTGCTGGATAGAGCAATCTTGGATGTAGGTTTTTGGATTTCATGACTTGGAATACCTCTTTCCAGCCCCTTCTTGTCTGTAAGGTCTCTTTTGAGTAATCATCTGACAGTCTTAAGGGCACTCTTTTGTAGGTTACTTTCTCCTTTTTTTTTTTTTTTGCTGCTTTTAAGATTCTCATCTTATCTTTAATCCTGGGTAACTTAATTATGATGTGTTTTGGTGTGTTTCTCCTTATATCTAATTTCTTTGGGACTCTCTGAGCTTCCTGGACTTCCTGAAAGTCTATTTCCTTCACGCAATTGGGGAAGTTTTTCTTCATTATTTGTCCAAATACATTTCCAATTTCTCTTTCTGGCATCCCTATGATTCAGATATTGAAATGTTTAAAGTTGTCCCAGAGGTTCCCAAGCCTCTCCTCATTTTTTTGAATTCTTGTTTCTTCATTCTATCCAGTTGGATGTTTATTTCTTCCTTTTGTTCCAAATCCTTGATTTGAGTCCCAGTTTTCTTTCCTTCACTGTTGGTTCCCTGTATATTTTTCTTTATTTCACTTTGTGTAACCTTCATTTTGAGACCACGCTCAGTCAATTGTGTGAGCATCCTGATTACCAGTGTTTTGAACCGTGCATCACATAGGTTGTCTATCACATCGTTGCTTAGTTCTTTTTCTGGAGTTTTGATCTATTCTTTTATTTGAGCCATATTTCTGTGTCTTAGCACATCTTTTACATGGTAAGGGGCATAGCCTTAGGTACCACCAGGGTGGGGCAACCCTCTTTGCTGTGTTGTTGTGTTGTCTATGGGGGAGGGGTCAGAGAGGGAACAATGCTGCTTGCTCGTCTCTCATCCCACTTTCTGTCACTTTCCTCCTTCCCACAAGTGGATTGTGGCCTTTCAGTTGCTGATTCGTAGGTGGGTAGATTTGTGTATGTTTTAGGACCCTGTGGGCCTCTCTGACCAGCTCTCAGACTCTCATGTGAGACTAGGAGTTTCACCTGCCACAGCAATCCCACAGAATGTTTCCAGCCAGGGGTTTTGAGTCTTTAGTTTTCTATGCTGAAACCCTGGGTTGCACAGTCTATCTTGTTCCTGCAGCGTTGCTCCAGGCTTATCTGCATGTGAATGTGAGACCACCTGGTCCACTGCCTTGTGTTGCCGCATGTCCTCTCTGCCCAGGCTGCCCATCTCTGTCCCTCCGACCAGTCTGGGTGAGTGTTCTTTAACTCCTTTGATGTTGGACTTCCATGCAAATGATTTTCTGAACGTTCTGCTCGTTCTTTATTTTCAAATAGGTTGTTATCCTTCTTTTAATTGTGTGAGGAAGCAAAGCATTTCTGCCTATGACTCCATCTTGGCTGAAACCCCTAACAAATCCACATGGTGTAAGTTTAAGGCATACAATGTGTAGCCTAGCATTCCTAGTTTATAGGTAGGAAACCGAGAGTTACATTAAATAACTTGCTCAGGGCCACAGGGGGAGTAAGTGGCAGGGGAGGAATTCAAACCTGGAGACGTAACACTCTTAATATCCATGCTCTTAACTGTCCTAGACACAATGGTTTCCTTCACCACAGATCATGGACCAGTACAACAGGATCACCTTGAATGCTTAAAAATGGTTCCTGGCCTCCACCCCAGTCCTACTATGTGAGTATATTTTTTACAAGCTCCCAAGTTTATTCCTATATAAACTAAAGTTACTAACATGTATTTCATCCTTCTTTATTGAAAATTCAACCAAGAACTGATGGTGCTAGAAAAAATGAAGGCATTATAAGGAATTCAAAGGTAGGTGGTCTCACTAAAAGGGAGAAATGAGTAAACAAGCCTCCAGGAGTTCTCAAAGCCTACATGATCTGTTGGACTCTTCTGGAATGATTTCTAGTGTGTCCACCCTTATCTTTGTGGTTTTATGACATTATTCTATGAAATGAAAAAGTAAATCTCTTTTAGGTATGCCATATTTTTTATTCCCATTTTTATGGATCATGTCAATGTGTACTGTGTGAAAAACCAACTAGCTTTATTGTCAATGCTCTGGAAATGCAGCATCCTGATATGAGGAATAAAAAAAGAAAGATACCAATGCTGAGTTTAGATGCTTTACAAACCAAAGCACAATGTAGTCAAAAGACATATCATATTAGCGGGACCAAAAACTCACCTTCAGGAAGACTTTCACCTTGAAATATGGTGATATGTGGAACAGATGTTTTAATTTGCCTAAGATAATTTGCATAATCAATTTAACATGTGGCTTATTAAAACTGCCAAAGAGCAGGTGACAATATGGAATTAATATGATTACTAATTTGACACATCATTGAGATTAATTTGACCCCTCTTGGTCTCTGAATACCCAGAGGTCTTTATAAACAGGAAGAGTATGCCATGAGATGCCATATGTAGCCACACAAAATCCACCATAAATGAAGCAACCTCTTTGCTCAGTCTGGTCTCATGCATCTACTTCTTTCAAATTCTCTTCTAAATTGGAAAGGAGCAATGAGTGAATATTGAGGGAGACCTCTGATTTTGAGTGTTCATGACTTTATGTAAAGTATTTGATCTCTTCTCCAGTACTATAACAATACTGCCTTCTCAATGGTCTGTTGATTTATTATCCTTGATCCCAGACCCAAAGAGATATTGTTTTTGAGAACCCATGGTAAAAATCCATTGAAGTAGTTAGTTTTAAGTTTATAGAATCAAAATAAGGGATTAAATATTCTACGTAGGTTTGTTTACAGGAGTAAAGTATTGGAAACACTAGAAATGTTCAATAGGATTGGTTAAATAAAGTACGTATGTCAATAGAATGCCATGCAACCATTTAAGTGATGTTGGGAAAGTATATTTAATAACAAAACCATGTCTGTGATATATGACACAAATAAATCATATTACAAATTAGTAGATGCACTATAATTTCATTTTTGTAAAGAAAATCTTGGAATATGCATCTTTGTCTCTCATACCCTCCTGCCTCCCTAAAACATAGCCAATAACTTTAAGTGCAAATTTTTATATATACCAGACAAATGACTTCCTTCTTTAGAACTATATATATTAGATTTAGAGAAAAAAAAGGTTTTTAAATAAAACGACTTTCTAGCTTTTTTGTCTGTTTACTCTGTCCTTCCAGTGTTTAAAGCACAAACAAAATCAACTGTTTAATTTGGTTTCAAAAATTTATATGTGTAATATAAAGGGTGAAATAAGATGTAATAACATTGGGATTTAACTCACTTTTCAGTGTTTTCAAATTTAGTATGTCTGACTCTTAAAAAGTCAAGTTCACCTAAAACCAAAAGAACAAGCTCTAAAAATAAGATAAGGGAAAATTGTCAATATGGAGAAGTCAAAAAACAATGGAAGTGATCAGTAGATGTGAAAATCAGGAGTGACCTAAGCGAGGGGTATTTCTGCAGCCTGTGAAGGGGGAGGGAGAGGAACAAAGGAGGCTGAGGAAAAAACAAGGTACAAGTAAGTATGAATAGAATTAAGGGGTAATTTTTTAATGAACAGAAGAAAATGCCTGAGAAATTCTAGAGATAAAACTTCTTTGGGTTTTGCCTGGCAAATATCAAATACACTTGGATGTTGGGAAGCCCATATATGGACGCTTGTTTTTTCTTTTTTTTAAGACTTCATTTTATTTTTAGAGAGAAGGGAGGGGAGGGAGAAAGAGAAGGAGAGAAACATCAGTGTGTGGTTACTTCTCATGTGCCTCCTACTGGGGACCTGGCCTGCAACCCAGGCATGTGCCCTGACTGGGAATCCAACCAGTGACCCTTTGGCCTACACTCAGTCTACTGAGTTACACCAGCCAGGGCCTATTTTTTAAGAGACTTTATTTTATTAATAGACTCTTAAAAAGAACACTTTGATTAAAGATGGAACTGCCTTTTGATCCAGTGGTCCCAATGCTGGGATTATACCCTACGAATCCTGATTCACCTACTCAAAAAAAACTATTCACCCCAATGTTCCTAGCAGCACAATTTACAATAGCCAAGTGCTGGAAACAGCCTAAGTGTACCCATCAGTAAATGAGTGGATGAAAAAGCTGTGGTACATTTACACAATGGAGTACTATGCAGTAGAAAGAAAGAAGGAACTCATACCCTTCACGACAGCATGGATTGAACTGGAGAGCGTTATGCTAACTCAAGTAAGCCAGGTGGTGAAAGACAAATACCATGTGATCTCACCTATAAACGAAACCTAACAAAACAAACAAGTAAGCAAAATAGAACCAAAGACATGGAAATAAAGAACAAACTGACAGTGACCAGAGGGGAGCGGGGAGGGGGGTAATGGGAAAGAAGGGGAAGGGTCAAGCTGAGGAACAGGAATAGAGAACTCATGTATGGATAATGGGCGGCACTGAGTGTGGGAGTGGTGGGGGGACAGGCAGGGGAGAGCAATGGGGAAAAAGGCAGGGCAACTGTAACTGAACAACAATAAAAAAAAAATCAAATTCTATATTACCCTAAAAAAAAAAAGAGAGAGAAACTGAATAGACAGTATGCAGTTCCCATATACCCCACATAGTTTCTCTCATTATTAACATCTTACAGTAGTACGGTACCTTTGGTGCAATTAATGAATCAATATTGACACATTATTATAAAGTCCATAGTCTATTGAGATTTCCTCTGTTTTTTGCCTAATGTTCTTTCTCTGTTCCAGGATCCCATCCAAGATACACACAACGTTTAGTTGTCATTTCTCCTTTGGCTCTTCCTCGCTGGGACAGTTTCCCAGACTCTCCTTGTGATGACCTTGACAGTTTTGAGGAGCACTGCTCAGGTACACCATAGGGCGGCCCTCTACTGGAATTTGATGTTTTACTCATGGTTAGATTGGGTTATGGGTTTTTAAAAAAAAAGATCACAGAGGCAAAGTGCCATTTTCATCACATCATATTAAGGGTACCAACTAGCAAAGTGTCTATGACTGTTGACGTTGGCCTTGCATTGGCTGAGGTAACGTGCGTCAGGTTTCTCTGCTGTAAAGTTACTGCCTCCACTCCCTTCCCATACTGTGCTCTTGGGAAGGGAGTCACTATGCACAGCCCATATTTAAGGGGTGAGAAGTATGCACCCCTTCCTTGATAGCAGCCTATTTAGGGTTCTTCTGCATGGGAGATTTGTCTCTTCTCCCCATTTATTAATGTATTCAGTCATTTATGTGTATGAATATGGAAATTTATTTTCTACACTGGGTATAATTTAATAATACTTTATTTTGTTACTCAAATTCTTCTGGCTTTAGCTATCAAAAGTTCTTTCAATTGGCTCTGGATGCTTATTTTTTAACCATAAAGTTGCTTAGTGTTCAGTTTGACTTTTATACCACAAGATTTTAAAACACAAATTATTTAAATTCAAATTATTTAAACACAAATTATTTAAACACGAATATTTTAAAACACCAATATAATTATTATATTGGCCCAAAAGTAATTTCTTCAACATTAGATGGCCTTTCCGTTTTTAAATGCTTTAAAGGAATCTTGTTCTGTTTGCACAGTAGTAATAATTCAAAATGGAAAAATCATTTAAAAGGGAGCAGTGTTTATTAATTTCTGATTTGGGCATATGTATATAAAATACTGTGAGTATAGGGCAGCTAAATCTGTTGCTTAGAGTTTGTGAAAGGAAGACAGCAAGGGAGGAAGGGAGGGGAAAAAAGAAGCAATGAAAGAAAAATTGGCTGAGGGGGAAGCAGGCTGGCCTCTCGCAGGGGTCCCACATAAGTGAGCTAAGAAGGCAACATAGATAGCTACCCACTGCCTAGCTTGCAGTTTTTTCTGTTGCTTTCCTTATTTAGAGCTTCTCGTGTCACTTCACGTAACTGGCAGGCTTTTCTCTTCTAGATCTATTCTAAGGCACTAAGAAATGAGACTCTTTACACTTCATTTCTCTTCCGTCAGAGGAGAGGCTGGCGTTACGTGCCGATGCACGTCACCGCTGCCTAATGACAAACACGCCAACGGTTCTGGCCCCGGCTGTCCTTTTCCCCTTGAGGCAGGCAGTGAGGGATTATTAAATGGCATTTCATTATGATCTACTGGCTAGATGTTAGTCATGGCATATTTTAGAGGAAGCCAGAAGGGACTTGAGATAACAATGTCACTCCAAAGTCAAGGAAGCTATTGCACAAACATGAATGATGCTCAGTCTGTAGTTGAGATGCACCTTGCTCTGTCCAGCACCACCTCCCCTTCTGCTCCTAGCTGATTAGCTTTTAAATCCTAAAATACAATTTTATGAATTAATTTCCAGGGCTGATTTCTTTGAAGAAGGATTGATTACCTGGCTGGGTGTAAAGGAATCTTTTTAGTCTAGACTTTGTTTCTGACTCATTGTGATAATCTGGGTGGATCTTTTCATTTCTATTCTTTCCTCCTGTTATCACTGTTTGTTTGGAAACCTTTTTGTCAAATCATTGCTTTCTTATTCCCAGTGTCCCCAGGGCCTTAACAGATGATGTCATGCAACAACCCTTGATATAGAGTCAAAATACTATTCTCTTTGGGCAGTTTCTAATTATCTTCTGTTTCTGATTTATAACTTTGACTTTCCCTTTCCCTGATGTTCTTGATTCTGCTCCCTCTGTTTCAGCTTTTCTCTCTGGTGCAGCTAAGCACTGTCCATTAAGGCACATAATGTTTAATGGGGCCCGTTCCTAGCTAGTCTTTTGGAAATGCAGTTCTGCAATTATATTTTAACTTAGTTTTCTCTTTTTCTATGGCTTTTAAAATCTGTTAATATTCTAATAGCCATTCATTTTACTTTAATAATAATATAAAAATCATATGCTATGCACGCCCTCTTATCAAATTACCATTAGAAGGAAAGCCCCAGTAATAAAAACATACTATAATTGGTATAATTTAATAATAGCTACATCTAAGGCTATTCTCTATGTAGGATACACTGTATTTTTCGGACTACAAGACACACTTCCCTTCTCCCCCCCAAATTTGGGAGGAAAAGGGGAGTACGTCTTATAGTCCAAATGTAGATTACCTGGCTCACTGTGAGGGGGAGGTGGTAGAGCAGGGTCACAGGAGGCAGAAGCAGGGTCGTTACTGCATTTTCCTCCCAAATTGGGGGTGGGTGGGTGGCGTATAGTCCAAAAATACAGTATGTAGTATTTAATTCCTGCAATAATTCCCAGTGATAAAAAAATTTTAAAGATGAGAAAATTTATAATTGAAGAGGTCACTAAACCAGGGCCTTTGTTTATGGTTATTGTTTGCTCTTTTGAAGATATCCATTATTTTGTGACTCTAGCATCCCTTTTTTTGGAAATTGCTTCTTTCTTCTCCACCCACATGGCAGTCATGGAAACAGCCATGTTAGGACAAGACCCTGTGCTCTGGCCTAGGAGCCTTTTCCGTGAAGTTTCATGGACTGGGGATTCTGAGAACATTGGTTCAGGGTATTTCTATTTGTCAACTGGAAACATGCAAAGCTTAGGAATTATCGATGGCTGATTCACAGCCACAGAGACTGAAGATGAGTGGAAAGGGGGGCCTGATGCAGAGGGACTAGGGAGTGGGATTGGAGCCCCTGCTTCCTGTTTTCCCCCAGGTGTATTCCTGAAGACGTCCCTGTGTCCTGATGGTGTTTCCCCTTTTTGCTTACATTTAAATTTGTTATCAGTCACTTGCAACCCCCCCAAACCCTAATGTCTAGTACTGCTGGTGGTCTTAACCATAGCAAAAGCATATGATGGATTTGGGTTGAAAATGAGTGACATCTGAGGGTTTAATTCAAAGGCTGACTCATCTTGGTTCCCCAAGTATATTTGTTTACTTCCTTCCTCCTTCAACTCAAACTCATGTGAAAAATAAATTATGTTTAAAAGGGTTGCATTAAAAAGTAGCTAAATTCATTCAAGGAGCAAATCATCTTAAAAACAACTGAAAGTTAGTTGTTATTGTTATTAGCTGACTACAATGAGTTTTATTCCGTTATCTTGATTTATTTCTTAGAACACTCAGTCCCGTGTCCCATTTCCCAACATTTCAACGTATCAGTCAGGAAAGGGAGAAGGGAGGTTTTCTAAAGCCAGGATTGGTGGTGTTCTCTGTTGAAATTGTTAATGAAAGACCAGGTTTACTATTACAGACAGGAAACATTTGAAGGGGCCTTGACACCAACCCTAAACAGAAAGAGATTTGGGATTAGGTAGTTCTCACAGGTGCTTCTGACGCATCAGTCCATGAGCAGACACCTGGCTGTCACAGTCACATCACAGATCATGTGGAGGACTGCTCGGTCCCTGTCTGTGCCTCTTCAGTCTCAGCACAATTAACAACCTGCCCACCCCACACTCATGGACTGAATGTGGACCTATACTGTGTGGCCACCTCCACCTTCGGGTTTAACACAGGTGACAATTTGCACTGGAGCTTTGTGAAGGAAAAAAGTGTCTTCATCTTACCTAACAAAAAGAATGTCTTAACCCTGCCTAACAAAGTTTAAGACCTAAAGAAAAAAATCAGTGCTCAGTCTTCGGCCACACCACCCTGAACGCGCCCGATCTCGTCTGATCTCGGAAGCTAAGCAGGGTCGGGCCTGGTTAGTAGTTGGATGGGAAAAAATCAGTGATCACGGACTGTATTAAATCAGCATTGGAAAGGTTGTCTTGAAAATACAAAGGGAAACTAATCTGTGTGCAGAAAATGGAAGTGAACATTCCAAGAGCAGATTGGGGACTCTGAGTTTCCGAAAAATGTATTTCACAATAACCAGTCAATTCGATCAAACAGATAGCTCTCAACTATTAACCTAGTTGTTTGAATGACTAAATCAGTTCACAGACACAATTTATGTTCGGTCCTCAGACAGAGACCTACTTATTATTCAGGAACTTTTGGCTCCTGTCTGATCCAAATTACTCTTCCATTGCTCTCACCCATTTTTAACACCTTTGCTCATAGAGAATGGCTGCCGGGCTTCTCTTTGTCTTCCAACTTTATCTTCTTCATTTCCCCATAGATTCTAGTTTCCATCCTTTAGTTACTCTTAAAAACAAAACCAAACCAAACATAAAACCACAATGCCGTTTCCACTGGCTTAATAGATATTTGCCAAGCAAATAGAAAGTACACATTAATTTCCCCACATAGGATTTGGTGTGAATAAAGTACATCTATTTGCTATAAATCATGGGCTGTTGTGTAAAATAGGATGTTATCCATCTGTGGTTATGTTTGTTCTGCTGCATCCCCAGCTCTTCCTGTATGTGGTTCCTGAGAAGTGAGCATTATGAATGCACATTAGGGACATTATGGTTGTCTGTGAGTTTATACGTGTGTGTGTCTGTGTGTTTGTGGAGAGGGAGGTTGGAGAAGAGTATTATCTCAATGGTGATGCTAATAAAGCCAGACCCCCAAAGTGGGATAAACAGGGGTCTCCAAGCTGAGTGTTTGGTGGCATCCTGGGAGCAGGTCAAGGCCATGGCTAGGCTGAGGTGAAAGGAGACTGGGCTGTGGCACATGGGATGACTGTGCCTGAGGTTCCCTCCAGACACAAACTGGTGAGAGACGTACCTGAAGTTGGCCTGGCATGTTTGAGGCCAAGAAAGTTGGGATTAAGCCATTTATTTTTCTTTTTTATTTCTCTCATCTTTCTTTATACCCTCTTTGCTTTCTTTATATTGTCTCTAAAATGCAGACATCTATACAATCCCAGGGTGGGGAGAAAGACATGGTGGCCAGTGTTCATGACCTCTGGGGAAATGTTCCTCTCATGCTCTCTGGTCTAAGGACTGATTATAATGTTGGAGTATGGCAGGAAGCCCTCTTATTTAAATAACTAAGGGGCAGTTCTTTCAGTGCTCAGAATTGTTTTAAATATGAAAATATTAAGTTCTGACACCTCTAGGTAAATTATTGCTTAATTCTGAGTATTTATAAACTAAAGATAGAACCATTTCCTCGATTTAGAACTCTATTATCATCTCATCATTTGTAACAATTTTCATAACAATGAAAGCCATGTTTTTTGTCAGGCAATGGTAAAACAAAGTGAAGTGTTTAGGATTTGTAGTTGCTTTGCTAAGCACATAGATTGAAAAAGTGTGGGAAAGCAAATGTGGTGTGTCCCCACATTTCCTACTATTGTGGACATAAAGGAGAAGCAATTCTCTTTATCTCTAATTAGCAGAGATAAGCTTTTTCTTTACTTATTTCTGGACCTCTAAGTCATTTGTTTAGCCTTGTAAATTGGCTGATAAGCAGTTTTAATTAAGCACTGGGGCAGTTCATCCTACGTGGGTATTAACCCAGGTTCTGAAGGTGTGAAGTGGAATGATTTCATCAGTCGGTGGTTTGGATGGATGCTGTGGCCATGGTTGCAGTTAGCTGGCCCAGGGGTGTGTCTGACGTGTGTACTTTCAAGCTAAGTGACAAAGCTCAGCTGAAATGCAGGTGTCCACAGACGCCAGATGTAGCTTTCTATTAAGGATATGCTTCCAAGAAACTGGATCAAGATAAAGCAAAGACTAAGGGACAGAAAGGAAGACTGAATCACATTATTGCAATATTCTGCAGGATCAGACTTCGGCCTCTGTTCAGCTTCCCTTTGGAGCTAAAAATGCCTCAAGTTTCTTTCTGAGAGGCATGAGCTGTTGCATAAATACTATGCTTTCTGGCAATCTTCAGCATGAGTCCATCCAAGGTTATGTGACAAGGCTGCATGAGAAGGTTGTGTGTGTGGGTATTTTATGCATGAGTGTAACACTGTCACTTTGCTTCGCAAAACCCAAAATCCCCTGAATACCCACAGGAGAAGATAATTCAGCATTTGCCAGGCCAAGTAAATGCCCTCCTTTATTCTCTGTCCCTGCCTCACTGTCCCTCCCACATTCTGACTTAGAAAGTTATAATAGACCTGAAATCATTTTTGGTGAATAATGCTAGACCACTCTGAAGATTTGGGATGAGTGCTGGACCTTCGTCATCACCACACACTGTGTCACTGAGACAGGGTAACCTATGGTTACTGAGCTCCCATCAGTTAAGGAGCAGAGAGCCTTCCCTCCTCACCGCTCTCTATAAAAGAGACCCGGCAAGGGACCCTACCAGCCTCCAGCTCTCAGCCTGGACAAGGTGTGGAAGCAAAGCTGCAGAGACAAGGCCAGCATGTCTCCTTCCTTCAAACTTCAATGTCACTTCATGCTGATATTCCTAGTGGCTCTGAGAGGGGAGAGCCGATACCTAGAGGTGAGTGATCCCAGGACTGACCCATCACACCTCCTGTCCGAAAGTGTCCAACGTTGAGTGGGGCCAGCAGGCTGCCTAGGCTCTTGCCTTTGTTGGGGTTAGCGCTTTCTTCCCCGTCTTTTGTACTGGTTTTCCCCAGACTGGTTTTCTTTCCTGCTTCCCCCTTTCCTTTGCCCACTGAGGATACCCTAGTCTGATGGAAAGGATCCCATCACTATTCTCTTTGCTGTCAGTCAGAGAGGGTGCCCTGCTCCTGGTCCCCTTCTCCCCATCCCTTGAACTTTACCCAACTGACCCACTTTCCTTGTCAGCTGCGGGAAACCGGCGACCACGACCCTTTCCTGCTCTTCAGCGCCGACCTGAAGCGGGAGCTGGCAGGGGAACAGCTCTACCGCCGAGCTCTGCGTGAGTCCGGGGCTGCCCGGCTGGTTCGAGCGCAGCGCAGCGGGGATGGGGGTGTGGGGAGGTTTGGGCTCTGCGCGGAGGGAAGGAGGCTCCGGGGCCTCGCTGTGGAGGGGCTGGCGAGGACTGCCGGGGGCGTGATTTTCATTGCGAAGGGGGTCCCACGAGGAGCGAAGGGGTGAGATGGGGTGATGTGCCCTGGGGCGCGGGGCTGTGCCCTCGTGCAGCCAAGGCTGGGAGTTGGGCACTAGGGAGCTGCAAACCTGGAAAAGAGGGCTCTGGGAGGGACCGCTGGGGGTGAGGGGGACCTGGCGCTGCGCGGTGGCTGCAGCCCCAGAAGTCTGGCCCCACCGCTACTGCCCTCGCTCAGGGTGCCTGGACATGCTGAGTCTCCAGGGCCAGTTCACCTTCACTGCTGACCAACCTCAGCTGCACTGCGCCGCCTTCTTCATCAGCGAGCCCGAGGAGTTCATCACCATCCACTACGACCTGGTCTCCATCGACTGTCAGGGAGGGGACTTCCTGAAGGTGAGGCGTCCCAGGCAGAGCAGCCCCAGCTGCTCGCTCCGGGGCAGGGGCACGGGAGGAAGAACGGGCAGGGGTGCTGCACCCAGCGCCCGCAGCCGAGCCTGGGGAGCCAGGGATTCTCTTAATGAGACGCTTCGCTGGTGCCAGAGTGGGAGAGGCACACTCCGGGGCCCCATGCGACCCCATGACCTCGTCCCACACCGGCAAGGGCCGATTTAATATCCCCTCTGTGCACTCTTGGGGTCGGACGCCACTATAGACTTGAACTCGAGTCGCTAAGTGCTGTATTACAATCTGGGGCAGTGGGGCAGGTGAAAATGTTCAAACTGACCCCGCGAGCGCTCAGGTCCACCGAGCAGGCGGGTGCTGGTGGGGGACCAGCCCGCAGGTCTAAAATCCGAGCCGCTTTGCTCCAGCTGCTCCCTCTCCCGGTGGAGGTGTTCCAGGTTCGCAAGGGCTGTCTCCAGTGTCTGGGTGACCCGCATTTGGAGCAGTAGGGTGCAGGCTGCTGCTGGGGACGCTGAGAGGGAATCTGGTCGGAGGCAGGTGGGAGAGGGGGACAGGCCCCAACCTCACAACACTCCCTATCGCAGTCATTCTTCCGAAGTCAAATAGGTCAGCTGGGGACGGCTGATGGAGTTCCACAGTCCAATAAAAAAGATGGTGACTAGGACCTCCACAGCGGAATTATTTCTGAACCTGTCAGGCGCTGGTCCGGTGAAGTCATTTGTAACTGGCGTTGCTGATGTGAACTAGATTAAACTCCTTCAACTGGAGACCTGGGGTGATTTTAAGAGTAAAGCCAGTAGACTTTGACCTTTTGTCCAACAGCAAACTTCAACATGTGAAGGGGGAAAGTCCTAAGTGATATACCAGCCATCGCTGTCTGAGTGTTGAAGCAGTTCTTGGTATTTTGATATGTGGTAAGGGTTAGAAATGAGGAAAACAGGCATGTATTGGCAGGTAGGTCAAATTGCAGCTTCAGTTTTGTTTTTTTTTCTTTTTTAAAAAGCTATTTTGTTCATATTTCAATGAGAAAAAGAGAAGAACTGAAACCCAAATTTTACTTCTGGGAAATCCTTCTGAAGTTGGGATGTGTGGAAAATATAACCAGGATAAAAATGTACACTGTCTGTAGTTTGATTTCTCAAGGTGGCTGAAGTGTAATAAAGTTTACTTATTCTGGAAACTTTTAGGTTTATAAAGAAAAAAAGCAGTAAATAGTTAATGATGTTACTTGCAAATAACCCTCACAGTCAAGACAGGTACAAGTGGAAAGCGTGGGGCAGAGGAGTGCAGGCCATCGGTCACACCTGTGACCCGAGGCGCGGCCGGAAGTGCTCACCTGTCTCTGTTTTGTGGGAAGGTCTTCGATGGCTGGATTCTCAAGGGAGAGAAGTTCCCCAGCTCCCAGGATCATCCTCTCCCCACGACTGAGCGGTACGTAGATTTCTGTGAGAGCGGTCTTAGCAGAAGGAGCATCAGATCCTCCCAGAACGTGGCCATGATCTTCTTCCGGGTCCAAGAACCAGGAAATGGGTTCACACTGACCATCAGGACAGACCCCAACCTCTTTCGTAAGTGAGCTCTGTCTTCTCAGGTGGAAGGCATGATGGGGAGGGAGCTCAAATCTGCTTTTCAAAGGCAGTTTTATTACACGGACTTAAGAAATTTGAAGTGAGGAGTGATTTGAATGGAAATTCTTTTGTAATTAGAAATGATCAAAAGAATTTTTTCTGTTATTATGAAAATCAAATCACAGTTTTCATTTTATTTCCCAGGCTAGGTAGGATACTACTTTATGGGAAATGGAATTCAATTTTTTTCTTCAATGTCTTATTCTGATCTTTTAAGGTAATACATTCAGTGAAAAACTTTAATCCCCCCAAATCATTCCACTCATCTGGGATGAATTTGAGGGATCAGATACAAAGTTGCAACTTTAGATATTTGGGCAAAGGCCGAAAGGCTGCGTGTTTGTGGTGTGCTAAACAGCTTTCACGCCTCGGCGGGAGGTTGGACCGGGACCTCCAAGCTGCCTTGATTCAGAGCCCTCCCAGTGAACTATAATACAGTGAATATGCAGCAGTGCATGTCCACTGTTGATGGATAGGCACATAGATGCTAAAAAGCTGAAAGCCCTGCTCTAAAATACATGATCTTAATCAAAATGAGTTCATTTGTCTGCCTATTTTCTCCCATTAAAAGAAAAAACAATTAGTTTCAGGGAAAGAAAACCTACCTTATTTTTGGTATCATACGATAATATTAAAACTTCATGTGGTCAAAAAGTGGGCCTGATCTGCCAAAGAATAATGTATTGACTGAGCTTTAGATTTTTTGTTTTATTTTTTTTTTCGTAATTTTTTTGAAAGAAGCCTTCAAAAGAGGCTGTTTCTGAGGACTGAAGCAGAATAATCCTAGAGGGAAAAAATGAAATGTATTTCTTCTATTTTGTCTGGTTATAAATCAGAAACCTTCTAGAATCATCAAGGAATTTCAGTTCTTTCTGAAATTAAGTGGAATTAAAAGTGTGGAAGAAGGCAAGAGGTAGTTCTAACCTAGTCTCATCAATCAGAAATTTTGTTAAAAAGAAGGTACAAATTATCACATTTTTAGTTTCATAGCTAGAAGAATAAATTTGTAAGTCTAGACTTGATATACAAAACAAAAAATTTCAGAAATTCTTGGGAGAAAATTAAACATTAAAATTTATCTTTTGGTCAACTTACCCCTAAACTCCCAGCAAATATTTTTTTTCCCCAGCAAATATTTATTCAAGTATAAGCCTGCTTTCTTTCTACTTTTTCTCAGCTTATTTTGTGAGGGTTTTACTGTTTATTTTATCATTTAAACAATTACATATGACCACAAATTCTATGAACGAGGGCTTCAGGCAGACAGGGTTTGAGGTCTGGCCCATCTTTAAAGCCTTGATTATTCTAGACCCCCAGCTTGAACTTGGGCCCTAATTATCTGAAGTGTTCCTAAAGTTTCTAGCAGCCACTATTGTATGGTTGGTTATGAATTTATGCCTTGTGATTGCTGAACCCTGAGATTAAAAGTCCCTGCAGCCTATAGCTCTCTGAGAGTGTCCATGTATCACTGGCGATTTTCATTCCCCAGCCCCTTCTCACCTCCAAATTGCCTTTGTGAAATGTACTCTCTTCCAAGCCACAAGACCCTAGACCATGAATAGAAGCCTAGAATAAAGACAGGGTAAATGTCTATAAAAAACAGACTACCAAGTAGTGAAAACATGATTTTTGTTTTTCTGCGAAGCCTGCAATGTCATTTCCCAGACCCCAAATGGAAGGTTCACCCTGGTAGTTCCACATCAGCATCGAAACTGCAGCTTCTCCATAATTTATCCTGTGGTGATCAAAATATCTGATGTCACCTTGGGACACTTAAATGGCCTGCAGCTAAAGGTGAGTTGCATACTTGCTTTCAAATCATTTACTAAAGCCACAGCCTCATCAAAGCAAAAGTAATCATGCAGCGTAAACGTGGACATCAGCGAACTGGAATTAGTATGGCCTCTTGTCTGACAGTGAAGTCTCACCTGTGTGCATCTCGCTGCTTTAACTGAACCGCGCTTCTGTTCCCATTATGCTGCAAGCTGCATGCTCAGGTCTTCCTGTGCCTACTGAATACTTTCCTTGTGATGAAAGAAATGTTTCCAATTGGTAAATGCGTGGCATATAATTACAATTGAACTCTCTTGTACTTGCCTCTTTTAAAAAAAATTCTCTCCTAGCAGAACCTAGTGTGAGTCATCTACACAGCTGTTTTTCTGAGTATTGGAATTTTCTTTTGACATGAAGGAAGTAACTCATTGGCTGCGTTATAAAAAAATGCTAAGTGTAGCATAAAATAGGAAATTGGATTTTTATATGGCAAAATACAGTAAAGTTTTGAAGAGGTTTTTTTCTTTGCATTACATTTAACTCAATACATTTTGCAACAAATATTAGTTGAGATTCTCCATCAACTTGTTTTCCCATGAATTTCTATATGGATCTTAAAATGAATGCTGAGCTTGACCAGATTTACTTGCACTGGTAGCTTCTTCCCTCTGAGTCATCCTCATTTCCTTTTACTTTATCATATGCTGAGGTTAAGATAGCTCATGTATTTGCTGGCACCAAAGACAGTCATAGTTCCTAATCAGACAGATTTCAGGGAAAGCCAAATAGGACCAGGACTAAGAATAGGAGTATATCTAATTTCCTTTAAAGCCAAAATTCATGGGCCAGTGCTTTTTTTAAATTTCATTTTTGGTTTTTTGGACCTCAGTGGTAGAATATTTCTTTGGTAAAGACCAGAATAAGTGGGTGTCTCTGACACAGCCTTACTGGCTTGAGATTGTTTGTACGTCATTCCTGATACACAGTATAGAAGATGGCAAGTGTGATACCAGACTGGAAGATCTGCCCTTCAGTTGTTCTTGGCTACTAGGAGTAATCTTTGTGTTTCCCCTTTAAAAAATTTAAAGTCTGCATTTTTCTGGGCATCTTTTTCTTTGCAAATTATTTGCTTGAGTGCTCACCATGTGCAAGGTGCTATTCTAGATGCTGGCAATTAGCAATAAACAAAACAGATCCTGTTCACATGAAACCTGCCTTCCCGTGGCCTATGACAGGCAAACATGTAATGTATCTCAGCTGGTGGTGAGTGCCTTACAATGAATGGAGTGCCGTGATAGACAGTGACTAGGGACAAGGGAGCAGAAGGAGGGATGGGGATCTTCTTGAGATAGGATGGGTCAGGAGAGAAACCTTCTGAGGAGACATTTAAAGTGAGACTTTAATGATAGGTTAGAGGGAGCTAGCAGGTACAGCAAGAACCAGGAACAGAGAGAACAAAAGTGTAGAGGTTCAGAGGCAGAAATGAGCTTGCGGGGTTCCAGAAATGGAAAGAAGGAAAGGTGAGGGTGAGTGATATGAGGCAGTGTCAGGGAGATGGGCAGGGCCAGGGTGTGCAGAGCCTAGCAGGTCACATTAAGGAGTTTGAGTTTATTCTCAAACTCAAGGGCACTGCAGGGGTTGAGGCAGGAAGTGACATAACGCATTTGATTGCGCTCAGGTGCGATGAGGGGGGTTGGGAATTGTGACATCATGAGCAAATTAATTAACAGTGTCCAAGGGGGGAAGAAAGAGGATTACCTAAAGGTTATCTGGCTTCCATGTGGTGAATGGACCATTGGGGCCAGAGCGGTTCAAGGCATGCATGTGGGGGGCCAATGTCATGGTCTAGACAAGAAATGATGGTGGCTGAGTCCAGGGAACTAGAACTTCAACAAAGAACTCTAGGGGATCACTTTTGAAGAGCTGAACCCCAGAGGAGTCCCTATACAACTCAGCTTTTGCATTTGATTACAAGAATAGCTGAGAGGTTTGGGAAGAAGTGAAAAAAGTCATTGAACGCCAAGGAAAAGGGACACCAGCTTTCTTGTTTCTTTGTTGTGTTCCCTTCATTTTAGCTTCTGCTTCTTCCCATTGTCTTTATGTCCCATCTCCCTCTCCTGAGCCTGCCCTTTCCCTTCATCACCTGCTGAAATTTGGAACCTAAAGAACCAAGTGGGAAATTTAGTCTTAGGAGATGCTCCCTCTGGACATTCTCTACTCAAGGGAAAGGCAGTTAAGTTTCTTTTTCTTTACCTGGAAATGGCTTATTTAATTCTTCATACAAGAACATGGGCCCTGTACACAGAGAGGCTAATTAACCCTTTATTTCATCATTTGATGAAATTGTGTGTAAAGTACTTAGGCATAGAAATAGCACATAGTAGGCACTTTAAAATCATATGTACCCACCTGCTTCCTTTCATTAGCCAAACAGTTACTGTTATAATATCTTCCAATTTGTTGTTTAGTTCCAGTTTCATTTCAATGTATTCTAAATGTTTGAATGTGTATACTTATCTGTTTAAGGTTCTCCAATTTAGTTCTGAGTCCCTATGTGTTGGGTTTATCTGGTTAACTTCTGAGTACCTATCCTCATTCCACTGGGTCTCTTGATGAGTATGTATCCATGAAGAATAGAACCACAGGCAAAACCAGCTACATCATTTGTTGGGGACAGTACAAAGTAAAAATGCAGGACCCTTATTTAAAAATTGTTGAGAATTTCAAGATGGCGACAGCAGAGCATTAACCATGGGCCCTGTGTGGCATCACAGGTGACATGCACACAAGGACAGTCTTGATCAGAGGAGAAGGGTTGTCCGCATCTGGGGCTTCTTCGTGTGGGCGAGTGAAGCGTAGGACTTACTGTGCACGAGACAGCTTGGCAAGGATGAAGGGTAGCAGAAAGAGGTGGTTATGGAGTGTTACACAAAGTCTTAGACTAGATTCTTATTTTGAGCAGCTTGAAATAAATTGGTTATAGTTGGTAGGAGAGAGAATGGTAACTCTCTGTAACCCCACTCGGTAACCTGAGACCCAAATCAGGGTTCTCATCTTTTAAAAATATTTTTATAACTAATCTAAATCCTTATCAGTAGAAATGATAAGGATCGTTCCCATAGCAGAAAAAGTCCTTTATAAAGAACAAGAGGTGAGTTGAAGGAAAAACTAACATGAAGCCCTATTTATAAAAACTCTGACTGCATACATTAAGAACTTCAAATACTCCAGTATGTATTGCCCAAATGTTTTAAAAAGCAAAGCATTTTCAGATTCATTTTCCATTCATCTTGGATGGAGTTTACAGATTCCCATCTCATCATTCCAGTCCTTGAGCTTATTTTAAAATGCACATACATTTAAAAAAATGACTACTCAACTGACTTAGGCAATTATTATAATTTTTTTCTTTTAAGTGCTTTTTAATTTCCACAGTCCTGGATGTTGAATTAAATGGCACTGTCAGGATGTCCAGGGCTGATCAAGTGAATTCATCAGGTTGCCATTGGTCCAATGGTTTGATGTCCACAGTTGGTTTAAATACATCTTTCCCTGTGTCTCTCTTCTCAGAAACCCTCCACAGGTTGTGAGGGGAAAGGAGACTTTGTGGAGCTGCTGGGAGGCGCTGGGTTGGACCCTTCCAAGATGATGCCTTTGGCTGATCTCTGCTATCCCTTTCATGGCCCTGGTGAGATGTTTCTTTGGTCATTATTTATGTGCCCATCAAGAGTATTTCCTTTAGTAAAACACCTCAGATTGTTTGTACATAAGAAGGCAAGTCCTGCCAAAAACACTTCAGTTTTGCACATTGAGCCAATGTGAATATTTTATACTTATGCTATCAAGAATGCATTACCAATATATTTGACATTGGGAGAGAAACCTATGAAGTAACAAAGATGCCTGTGTAAGGTTGGCCCTATGTAATACTGGGATGGAATCACAGACTATCTTTAAAGAGACAAAAGTAAAACAGAAGAGAAACAACAACAACCTTTCATCTCATGGCAAATTCTAATTAGAGCCTCTTTCCTTTCTTGTAACCCCAGATCACTAACCAGCTAGGTGATAAAGCTGCAAATCAGACATTCTGTGACCAGCTCTTGCCCATTTTAATTAAAACCAGGCCTCCCCACCAGTCTTTTCTCTCTCTGAGCTAATACTGGGACCCAAATAAACAAAACGTCTCTGAAATAGAATTACTGTGCACAGGTAAACGCTAAGGCCCCGTGCAGTACTTCACTGTCACCCAGACACACCTGGGTGAAAGAACGGCAGATGAGGTTTAAGGCATGATGGGGTCCAGGGCAAGCTAGCTAGCTTTCTTTCTTTCAGATTTTATTTATTTATTTTTAGACAGAGGGGAAGGGAGGGAGAAAGAGAAGGAGAGAAACATCGATGTGTAGTTGACTTTCACATATTCCCCACTGGGGACCTGCCCCACAGCTCAGGCATGTGCCCAGACTGGGAATTGAACCAGTAACCCTTTGGATCTCAGGCTAGCGCTTGATCCACAAGCCACACCAGCCAGGACCAATGCAGGCTTTTACAAAGGTAAAGGCAAGAGAATTCTAACAACTCACCTTGCTGAGAACACAGGATTATTTTATGCTACTTTACATTTGAGCCCTGGTTGAAACTATCAGTGCAAGTGGCTTCTCTTGCCTTTTGCATGTGCTCTCTGAGACCCTGGATCATTCCACGCAATAAACAGCTGTGAGGACATGCACTAGAGCTGGGTAAGAGGAGTAGATTAAGTACAAAAGACACTCGAGCCTTAGTATTAGGTAATCGAAGTGAGAATAATTTTGGTGCTTGAATTATATTACTTGAATTAGGTATAAGGGTAAGACTAATGCCAAAAAAGTAAAATTAAATAAACACTTTTGCCTAAATTATTCAGAGAATTGAAACTAGTCTTAAAATAATTTGGAGGCTTGAATTTTTCTTTCACTTTTCTCTTTCGTTCACCATGTTTCCCCGAAGTTGTTCAACAATGAAGAACTACTAGGGACCCTGGTCTTTAAACTGGAGTTTCTTAGTAATCATGTCAAATAATAAAGAAATAATATGCACATTAACTAAAAGAAATAGGGTCTGTCATGTACATTAAAGTTCAGAGTAAGATCTGAAAAAGAATGACCTTCCAAATCATTTCAGGAAAACTAAATTTGGGCCTCCTTAGAGAGGCAGAACATCGACTGTCTGGTTCTTATATTGAAATAATTCTAGGGTTTGTATCTATTATGTCTCCAAACTGACCTTCAGCCCAACACGTAGCTCTCTCTGGCTGCTTTACTTCATTTGAACCCAGGCACATGTTTGCAAAGTACCAACTACACAATAGTGCTAGTGTTTCTCGGAACGAAGGCCTTATGGAGACAAAGGGGGAGACGTGGTTAAAAAAATTAAAGCAACAGAAGGGATTATTGTAGGGCAGACAAATCTTGTCTCGGGAACTGCCTGAGGCTGGAGAAGGAAAATAGAAGTAATTTTTTAATAAAAAATAATGAGTTTCAATCTATAACTGCTCAGGCACATCTGCACCCAATGATACATAAAATAATGAATAAGATTGGATTTAAGAGAAGTAAACATATCAAAAGTCATTCCTTATATGCAGCCCAGGAGAAAATGAGAGAGAAGCGGTATAGGTAGACAGTAGAACAAAAACCAATATATTCAGTGTGGTACCTCTAAATCATCCAAAAGACGTTTTGTTTGTATGTAAAACAATCATCATCTAAGCTCAGAAAATAATAAACAGGTGGTTTTGGGGGTCTACATAAATGTCCAGCAGCACACTCTATCCTCTGGCCCGGCCCATTACGTGCCACTTGCCCCCTTAGATACTATGACAACCAAACAGACCCCTGCTAATTTGCAGCCTGTCCCTGGAGGGTGGTACTGTCTCCACGGAGGACACGGAACTCGAGGGAGGTGGAGAGTGGAGAAAGGCTGCCTTTACCACCACAGTCTTGCAGGTAGACTCTGAAAAGTGCAAGGAGCCATCTTCTTGCCTCTTTGCAGCCAGGTTTATTTGGCTAACAGTGTTCTTGCACATGAGGACAAAGGCGGAGTTCAATTGCACGATTCTACAAATATTATCATCAAAATGAAAACAAAAATGTTTCCCCCGATGGCAGGGGCATGGTTTGGGTATGTGAGAGAAAGAGACGTCTTCTCACTTTCTTTGTGTTTAAATGATCTTGTTGACAAAAATGGTTTTACTGTGTGGTTTCTAACTTGCTGGGAAACTTCTACTCTTCTATAAATTATAGCCCAAATGAAAATTGGCTGCGACAATGTGGTGGTGCGCATGATCTCCAGCGGAAAACACATAAATCGGGTGACTTTTGAGTACCGCCAGCTGGAACCGTATGAATTGGAAAACCCAAATGGAAACAGTATCCGGGAATTCTGTTTGTCTGGTCTTTGAATAACCAGTCTGCTGATTTACGTGCTGCTAGCTAAGTGAGTTTTTAATGGCTATTGTATATGATTTTGATGACCACCTCGTTAAAAGACGTTCACACCAGTCAGTATTCACAGCCATGAGTGGGTGCCTGTGCGTGCAGCCACACACACACACACACACACACACACATACATACATACATACATGTCTTTGTACCTTGCTTCTTTTTCATTTGTTATGTATAAATGACCACGGCAGAAAATGAACCCTGCCCCCACCTTGTAGGAAAACAGTTTTCTGTAATTCTTTGGTGTACTACAAGCCTGAACTGGTAAGATAAGTGCAAAGCTATGTTCAGTTAAAAAAATGTGTCTTAAGGAAAAATACTACAAAGAAATAAAAATGGTGGTATTCATATCAGTTTTATAACAGAAAACATTTGACTGTGTATATCAAAGTAGTTGCTTCCGTTATCTATTTTCTGCTTCTTCTGTTTACAATAGAAAATAGTTGTAGCTGTGACTTACTGTTTTGCAACCACTTGTTTTTAACAAAACTTTGTAGCATGGAAAAGTTTTTCCATTCATAAATACAAAATGAATAAATATATTCAGAATGTTGGCACCTTGATATCATGCTTTGTTTTCTGAGTAGTCCCCTTCCATGTTATCGTCAGAAAAGTATGTTCTCATGTGGGGCAGAACCAAATGCTGAGCAAAATTGTTTCAGCCCTCTTAGAGCTAGTAGAGCTCTGGCCATTGAAGGAGAATTATTTAAAGTAGAAAATAAATTACAGTGTTTGCACAAGACAACACTAACTAGTGGGCCCTGAAAGGAAGCAGGGTGCAGGGATCCCTTCTCCACTGTCCTCCAGGAAAACTGAGACTGTGTCTTTGTCACAGTGGTGTGCTTTTCAACAAGGACGAGGCTTACAACACTCGTAGACACTGTGCACAGAAACCCGAGTACTTCTTTGGTACCAAAGTTTATTGTTCACTGAGCCTTTGTTGGGAGCCGCCCTGCCTGGTTTCAGGAGCTGTAACCCCGCCATGGCTAAGGCTGAGCGAGTGACCTTCGGACCATAAGCCACTAAGGAGACAAAGTTTATCTCCCTGGCAGGAGCACTGCTTCTGCTCCTTTTTTCATAACTAGCCCCCAGTGCTTACTAAAAATCAGTTAGCCAATGACAGGTAAGATTCCCCAAGGGGGGGATCAACCTAGGACAGGCATGATCACGTGGAGGCCCCAGGGAAGGACTCGGGGGGCTATGGAGAAAAGGGGTGATGGACCCTCACCCCTCAGCTTTGATGAGGACTGAGTCCTCATTTCTCCTAATTCCTTGGCTGTCTTGCCTCCTCTGCCTGACTTAAACCTGAAACAATGACAGAGGGTGGTGCAGCCCTGTGCTGGAAAGGGTGGGCTCCCCAGGTGATCAGGCCTGAGAGAGGATATGTAAAATCTTGTGAAGGCTGCTTTGCTAAGAATGCTCTTAGTTAAATGATAAAGGCCCAAGCAGAAAATGAGTTTGTTTCCCAAAGTTTTGTAGCCCTTTAGCTAATAGACCCTGACTCAGAATAGGCCCTCATAGTTCTTTGTAAGCTATCTACTCTTTGATCCTCACTGCCTGCCAATGATTAATGAACTCTACCTGTATTCCTGTGCAAATTAAACCCATTAAAAGCCTGTCTAGGCAAGGGTCAGTGTGCTCTCCCCTTGAGGGAGTGGCCAGGCCGCTCTGGGGCGCTTCCCCCCTTGAGGGAGTAGCCATGCCACCCCTTTTCCTCCACAGGACTGGGTAGTCTGTGTGAATTTGTCTCATGTCTTATCCATAATGCTGTGGGCACTGTGGTCCAGTGTCTGTGTCAAGCCTTGTCCACATTTGTCTTGGGACTAAGCGTGTGGTCTGTAAAAGACCCTTGGGGCCAAAGATGAGGTCTTGAGCAAAACGGAAGTACTTGTAAGTGATAAGCTCTTTACTCCTTTTTGGTTTATTTTATTCTATATTTTTATGGAAGAAAAAAGTTGCACTTAGAGCTTTATAAACTTGTAATAAAAATAATGAAAATTTCCTTGGGAAAAGGTTATCCCTGCTCCCCATCCACCCTGCATACCTTTTGACAGTGGACTTGACCTATTTTTTCTTTTTCTTTTTCTAAAATTTTTTGCAGATTTTAATGGTATTTTTCTATTGCCATTTAGTCCCTTTGTGCCCCCCATCTCCCCAATAATTGTCACACTATTGTCTGCGGGTCCTTTTTCCCTTTGCTCAACCCCTCCACCCTCTAACCTCCCCCTCTGCCCCTTATCTGTCATCTTTTCTCTTTCTATGAGTCTGTGTCTGTTTTCCTTGTCGGTTCCGTTTGTTCACTAGATTCCACATATGAGTGAAATCATTGGTATTTGTCTTTCTCTGACTGGCTTATTTCACTTAGCATAATGTTCTCCATGTACATCCATACTGTCCCAAAGGGTAAAATTTTCTTTTTATGGCCAAGTAGTATTCCATTGTGTAAATATCCCATAGTTGTTTTATACACTCATCTACTGATAGACACCTGGGCTGCTTCCAAATCTTGACTATTATAAATAACATTGCAGTGAACATAGAGGTGCTTATATTCTTTTAAATTAGTGTTTTGGTTTTCTTTGGGTATAGTCCCAGAAGTGGGATTGCTGGGTCAGAGGCAATTTTAATTTTTAATTTTTAATATTTGAGGTATCTCCATACTGCTTTCCACAGTGGCTACACCAGTCTGCATTTTCACCAACACTGCAAAAGTGTTCCCCTTTCTTCACATCCTCACCAGCACTTATTGTTTGTTGATTTATTGATGATAGCCATTCTGACAGGTGTGAGATGATATCTCATTGTGGTTCTAATTTGCATTTCTCTGATGATTAATGATGTTGAGCATCTTTTCATATGTCTATTGGCCATCTTTATGTCATCTTTAGAGAATGTCTACTCAGGCCCTTTGTCCATTTTTTAGATTGATTGTTTGTTTTGGGGTGTTGAGTTTTTTAAGTTCTTTTTTTTAAATTTATTTTTTTATTGAGTATGCTGTTACAGTTGTTCTATTCCCCCCTTCATTCACCTCCACCCTACCCCCCGTCCTCACCATTACCCCCCCTTTAGTTTATGACCATGTGTCTCAAGTTCTTTAGATTCTATATTTCCCATACTATTCTTGCCCCCATCTATTTTCTATCTACCATCTATGCTACTTATTTTCTGTACCTTCTCCCCCCTTCTCCTCCTCCCACTCCCCTGTTGCTAACCCTCCATGAGATCTTCATTTCTATGTTTCCACTCCTGATCTAGCTGTCCTTTTAGTTTGCTTTTGTTTTAGTATGGTTGTTAATAACTGTGAGTTTGTTGTCCTTTCACTGTTCATGTTTTTTTAACTTCTTTTTCTTAGATAAGTCCCTTTAACATTTCATATAATAAGGGCTTGGTGATGATGAACTCCTTGAATTTGATCTTATCTGAGAAGTACTTTATCTGTCCTTCCATTCTAAATGAAAGTTTTGCTGGATAGAGCAATCTTGGTTGTAGGTCTTTGGATTTCATGACTTGGAATACCTCTTTCCAGCCCCTTCTTGCCTGTAAGGTCTCTTTTGAGAAATCTGCTGACAGTCTGATGGGGACTCCTTTGTAGGTGACTGTCCCCTTAGCTCTTGCTGCTTCTAGGATTCTCTCCTTCATTTTAATCTTAGCTAATATAATTATGATGTGCTTTGGTGTGTTCCTTCTTGGGTCCATCTTCTTTGGGACTCTCAGAGTTTCCTGGATTTCCTGGAAGTCTATTTCCTTTGCCAGCTTGGGGAAATTCTCCTTTATTATTTGTTCAAATAAGTTTTCCACTGGTGGCTGTTCCTTTTCCCCTTCTGGTACCCCTATAATTCGGATGTTGGAGTGTTTAAAGATGTCCTTGAGGTTCTTAAGACTCTCCTCATTTTTTTGAATTCTTGCTTCTTGACTCTTTTCTGTTTGGCCATTATTTGCTTTCTTCTGGTCCACTCCATTGATTTGAGTCCCAGTTTCCTTTTCATCGCTATTGGTTTCCTGTGCAATTCCATTCATTTCAATTAGTTTCGCCTTCATGTTTGTCTAATTTGTGGCTATAATCAACCAGTTCTGTGAGGATCCTGATCACCAGTGTTTTAAACTATGCGTCTGAGAGTTTTGCTATTTCTTCATCACTTAGATTTATAGGCTCTGGGGCTTTGAGATCTTCTTGAGCCATTTTTGGTCTGTTTGCTCCTGTTAAGTCTGAGGAACGGAGCCTTGGACTCCCAGGTCGCTGGGTTATGACGCTGTATGTGGAGGCGGGGTCAGAGCAGGGAAATCGTGGTGCCCTCCGCTGCCCCTTGCTGTTGGGGCTGCTGGCTCTCATCCAATCGCCCACTCCCTCGCTTGTCTATCCACACACGAATGCGCGACCACAGTCAACCCGCAGCCCCGCTCCCTCGCTGTTTCCCCGCGGTCGCTCTCTTGGTCACTCACTAGGTCCAATCCTGCGCCTGGATTCCGAGCGCCTGAGTCCGTCTGACCGAGTTTTCCTGTGCAACCCCGCTCTGCCAGCTGCTGCTTTCGCCCCTCTTACCGGTCAGGCTGAAGAATTTGTTGTTATCAGACTTCCGAAAAGTTCAATTTTCTGTGTTCTGACTATGTTTTCTTTTCTTTTTTTTTTTTTTAAATAAATTTATTTATTTTTTTGAATTGTTTATGCTGTTACAGTTGTTCTATTCCCCCCTTCTTTCCCCTCCACCCTGCCCCCCAACCCCACCATTACCCCCCTTTAGCTTATGTCCATGTGTCTCAAGTCCTTTAGGTTCTATATTTCCCATACTATTCTTGCCCCCCCCCCATCTATTTTCTATCTACTGTCTATGCTACTTGTTTTCTGTACCTTCTCTCCCCGTCTCCTCCTCCCACTCCCCTGTTGCTAACCCTCCTTGAGATCTTCATTTCTATGTTTCCACTCCTGATCTAGCTGTCCTTTTAGTTTGCTTTCGTTTTAGGTGTGGTTGTTAATAACTGTGAGTTTGTTGTCCTTTCACTGTTCATATTTCTTTAACTTCTTTTTCTTAGATAAGTCCCTTTAACATTTCATATAATAAGGGCTTGGTGATGATGAACTCCTTGAATTTGGTCTTATCTGAGAAGCACCTTATCTGTCCTTCCATTCTAAATGAAAGTTTTGCTGGATAGAGCAATCTTGGTTGTAGGTCTTTAGATTTCATGACTTGGAATACCTCTTTCCAGCCCCTTCTTTCCTGTAAGGTCTCTTTTGAGAAATCTGCTGACAGCCTGATGGGGACTCCTTTGTAGGTGATTGTCCCCTTAGCTCTTGCTGCTTCCAGGATTCTCTCCTTCGTTTTAATTTTGGCTAATGTAATTATGATATGCCTTGGTGTGTTTCTTCTTGAGTCCAACTTTTTTGGTACTCTCTGGGCTTCTTGGATTTCTTGGAAGTCTGTTTCCTTTGCCAGATTGGGGAAATTTTCTTTTATTATTTGTTCAAATAGTTTTTCCACTGGTGGTTGTGTCTTTCCCCCTTCTGGTACCCCTATAATTCGGATATTGGAGCGTTTATAGATGTCCTGGAGGT